TGTCTGAAGAAAAAAAAACAAAAACAAAACAAAAACAAAACAAACAAAAAAAACGGACCAAAAAACGGACATTTAATTATGTACATGTTACTTTGATTTTATATGCAAGTTAGAGGTTAAAGCAGTTTTCCTCTGGCAAGTTGGGTACAGTAAGTTTACATGTATTGTGTGTTGCTATAGAAACATTGGGAGAGATGAAAGGAAGGCAATAAATGGTTTTTATCACAAAAATCTGATAACTTTATAAATTTCCTGACTAATTGTAGGATAGCTTTTTTACTTAACTCCAATGGTTTGTATACACAGACAGTGTCTTACACAAGTTGAAGGACCTTTACAAAAATATGGGTTAAAAAATAGAAGCGGTGCGGTCGGTTAGTTTGCATCACAGTATGTGAAAACTGTGCATCCATGTGGCCGTCTTACTGGGGTTAATTTTTTGTGTGCATGTATGATCTTCAAAACTACTGAAGGGAATGGTTTGAAATTTCAGACACTTCTTCTCTGCAATTATTTTACATGATTGGTACACTGGTCCCATAACTCTTAGTTACATTTTTACAGAGTTGTGCCCCTTTCTTTACTGTCTTGTTAATTTTAAGATTGTTAAAGTAAAAATTAAGCTCGTCCAAGGGTATACATATAAAGTGAGTGAACAAGTGAAAGTCAAAATATGTTTACAATTTGACGTAATTCCTTTTAATTTTATAACTAACTTTGCATGAACGATAAATAACTCAACACGCCCGGCAAACTGTCGCTCCACTTCAAAATTGTGGTGTACGGTAAAACGAGCGAACGGCATCTCCGAAATAGAGCGGAAGGCCGATTTAAACGGCTAATTGTAAGTTTTGTTTATGTTTTTGTCTTGTAATTTATTCAAGTTGTATTTTTTCAAAAATCGATCAATGTAGTTCCGATTTAGGCTTCCAATGATCTAAGCTGTTACAAAAAGAAAAATAATATTAAGCCCGGGAGAACTTTTCTCCCTGACGAAGCGAACGACGATTTGTTAAATATCAAACTTCCAACCATGGAAACGCTCTACACTTCGAATTTCTTGAAAAGGTGTTTTAGAAAAATATCAATCCGTAACAAGAGCTTGTCCTTCGTGCTAAATAAATACTCTTGGTGGATTTCTTAAATTTGTATATAGATTTTTTTTTCGAAAGTAGTGGAGCCACAGGGCAAGAGATGGCGCGAAAGGTCGGTTGTTGGGCGCAAGGCGATATTAAGCTGGCGTAAAGAGCGTAGTCTACGAATTTCTATAAATAAGATCTTTCAAAGCTAAAATAGATGTACTAAAACGTGAAGCCGGAGAAATATGATAATATATTAATTTATTTCTACTATAACTAGGTCTATCAATTATTGATAAATTTAGTCCGTACACCGACTGAGCACTGCCTTTTTTATTACGTTCGTTTTGTTCATATTCTCTGTGAATAAAGAAACAACATTTTACAGATATTTTTTAACTTAATTTTTTTCTTAAACCAAGATTTGTACTGCAGTGTTTTATTATAAAAGTAAACATTTCTAGTAACACTTTGAGAGGAAAATAATAAACTAAACAACAATGCTAAATATGGAAGGAAGTATCTTGAAACATAACTGAAACGCGTGTTTTATCCTTAGAACGAATGATACTTTGTCAACCATTTTCAATTAGAATCCCCACCTTACAAATTCATGAAAACGTGGCTTATTTGTGTTTGATCTGAACATGTATGTTAGAGCTATTAATTACAGAAAGTCATAGTAAAATGAACTCTGTAGTAGTGATCCTTTTGATTTCATTGCCCCGTGTATTGCATAATTTTGTCTCTTCTCTGCACCTCGAATATCTAACTTTTCGAAAAACATAACATTTTTGGTGGGAACAATCGCGTTACAAGTACCTGCTCGTAAACATTTGTTCGCTGTAGAACTGAAAATACTTGATCTGGTCGCATTTGCACGGACACACGTTTTTAAATGAACATAATCGTGTTAAAAAACATAATTGACCTCGAATAAGTGGCATCCTGTATTACGCCATGCATATGATTCAATGATTGGGACTTATCAAAATTTGGAACATAAATAATGGAATCTATACGGCAGTCATAAGTGACACCTTCGCGATTACATTTATTACGCCATAGTCGTTGAAAGGATACCACGCTTTATTATTTGTCTTATAAAGGTATATATATCTCGGTCTCAAAAATTAATCATGTCTATTTAAACTTCTATAGCTTTTATATATAAAAATTCATAGACTTTATACGCTCCTCTTAATACGTCAAATTAGTATTGCCTTGCGCTCAACATCGACCCTTTCGCTTCATCTCTTGCCCTTTGGCTCCACTACTCTCGAAAAATATCAATTTACAAATTTAAGAAATCCTTCACGAGTAATTTATGTTGCACGAAGGACAAGTTCTTATTACGGGTTGATATTTTTCTAATACACGTTTTCGAGGATGGCATTTCAATGGTTGGGAAGTTTGATATTTAACAAATCGTCGTTCGCTTCGTCAGGGAGAAAAATTCTCCCGCGCTTAAAATAATTTTCTTTTTGTAACAGCTTAATTTGATCATTGGAAGCCTAAATCAATCCTACACGGAACTACATTTTCCGGGATTTTTTGTTGTTGAGAAAATACAACTTAAATGAATACCAAGACAAAAACATAAACAATATTTACATTAGCCGTTTAAATCGGCCTTCCGCTCTATCTCGGAAATGCCGTTCGCTCGTTTTACTGTACACCACAATTTTGTTTGAAGTGGAGCGACAGTTTGCCGGGCGTGCTCAAGTAGCCCAATGAAATTTTATAACTTACTTAGCATGAACGACATATAACTCAAATTCCTATAAATATCCATTGGAAATTACGTGTAACATTCAATTTATAAAAAGAGTAGGACAGTCTTGGCAGTTTTATATAAAATGTTGGTGAACCACTATTATATTAGTCAGTCTTTTGAAATATATGGTCAGTTCAGCTCTACTTGAAAAAGAAAAAAAATGAGCATTATATCACTTTAAAAATTGGGTCATAGTTTGAAATTATATCCATACTTTTCATATTTCACAAGGTCTTATATAATTGTTGTTTTTAATTTAGACATGCAGAAAGCCTGCAACAACTAGACAATGGGAAAAAGATTTCTCCATCCGGATGGAAGTGCGAAAAGTATGATCTTACAATTAACCTTTGGTTGAACCTAACTGAGGAGGAAACAATCACGGCGTTGAGCATTATCACGTCACTAAATACCCACTGGCTGTTAAGCTGGGAACCATAACCCCAGACGGTGCAGCTAGGTATGTTGCATTGCAATTGATACAAGATTTGGTGACCTCCGTGGGCCTGAGGATAAAGTCGGTTACTGCGAATCACTTGGTCTCTCACCATTGTTGGTCCGAATAATTATCCAGAGAGGTACCGTATTTCCTCAAATATAAGACGGGATTTTTTTCTTCCATTTTGAAGGCAAAAGTATGTTTCCCGTCTTATAAGTGGATCAAAGATGTTGGCTAAAGATTTTCTTACTTTTAAAGTTTTCAAAACAACTATGTCTCTTCTTAACTATCAAAAAATGAGCCTTCCCCTACGAACGTAGTTTCACTCTTTTCCAGATATTTCAGTTTTGAAACACTACTATAATCTGGGGTATTAAATGGTTCACGTAAACAATGATCATTTTGTAACGTCATTACACGCGATACTTTTTACAGATTTTTTTTGAAAAGTCAAACTCAATAACACCTTGCTCTATTGATGTTTTAAGAAGTGTAACAACAGATTTTGGCTATAACTTGTCTCTTAGTTTTTATAAAAACTATTGATCTGCGGCGATAACATGTCACTTAGTTTTGATAAAATAATTTTCAAAGGATGATTTAGAATGAAAGTTAGATAAATATGAATAAGTAATAAAAAATGTAATTCATATAAAGTATCAGAAAAAGTATACATGTACAAGGATCATGTACTCTGTTGTAAAAGTGAGTGGTCCGGAGCCATTATGGTCCTGCTGTTTTATTTTTTAATATACTTATTAACCAAATTTGAATTTAAATCATTTCAGATGTTTTTTTCCCTATGACCAGGATGATATGATAGAAGATCCAAACATCTAGCTCATTTTGGTATCAATAACACGTCCATGCAAAAGGTAAACCTTATATCTACCATAAATGACCAACGATCATGATACCATGATCTCTACTTTGTCTGCTATGAATAGAATTGTACCTTTTTAATAAGCTCACCTAAGCACACAGTGCTCAGAGGAGAGCTTTTGTTAATGGAAACCTGCACATGGTTAAACGTTTGTGGTTATCAACAACATCTCCTGCTAAACAATTTGATGTTTTTTTTACCAAACTTGATTGGAATTATCCTCAGTGGTCCTCTACTAAAGTTACATAAATTGTTCCAGTCTGATGCTTTAGTAGGTCACAGGAGCCAAAAATCGAAATCTTTAAAATCTTCCTCTCAGAAACTACATTTTGCATGTTACATCGCATTTTGGTTCGCAAGTGAAGTTTTTTCAATCATGGTTTTGGGGTCAAAAATGGCCCCGCCCTCTGAGTTGCCCTCTGGTCGCAAACCCATTATGTTGGTTTTGTCGTGACGCGGCTCAAATACTCGTTATTTTATATAATAACTTTTATCTTTCAGTTGTATTTGATGAGATAACGTCGGCAGGTGTATTGCTCAAACGATGTTGTTGAATTTCTGCCGTAGATTAGACTATGTTATCTTCTATCCATTGACTTGATATAATATAGTAATTAAGGAATAAAAAGGAGCAATTATATAGTTTAATGTTACTTTGTAGCAGTAACTGATTTTTTTTCTTTTAGAAATTATATATTTTTTTTTACATTTTTTTAATCATATGGTGTCCCTTTCCGCCAACGAACCACGAAATATAACCTGGAGCTGGACAAAATAGGAAAAATAGGAAACTTATAAATTTATTCCAGGACGATAACTTAAATGGATTTCTCTTAACAAAAAAGAATGTATCTGTGAAATAATTTGGAATTTTAAATTAGAATGAGACTTTTGGTATTATTCATTATATTTAGTGTGTTTATTTTTAAAACTCATGGGCAGTGTTTCTACACAGGTAAGATAATTTGATGAGTCATATTTAACTTCAGCTTGGACATATATTATTTGTATCTTACTCTACAACGCTTACAACACATTTTGTTCAATTGTCCACAATAACCCGTTAGTAACGAATTTTGAAACATGATAAAATAGTTATTTTGGTCATATTTTTCATTAAGAAATGCAAAACGTCAAATGAACTGGTGATAAGCATTTTTTTTGTTTCATTTATTGAACTCTTCATTCAAAATTTTCACTTTTTTACTCGTCTAGAGACGCCAGCTTTTAAGGGCCATTAAGTCTATGAATGCTTATTTTTTGTAAGCTTTCTATATATGTGATGACCTGTTAAGTTTCAAAATCGTTACTCTTTAAGCCATCTTTTGCGGCTTTTGCATATTGGCAATTAGTATAATAATATTGATTTAGTATTTTGAATGGAAATCAAAATACTACATTTACTTTGTTTTCATTTTGCTACATGTACCATTATTAAAAAAATCATTTCACATTTAGCGCTATTTTCTTCTGCCGATAAAATATATAATTTAGCGTTTTCCCTCCAGAAATTAATAAATGAAAAAGCATTTCATTTCAATATTTTTCTCTCGTAAAACTGTTTGTTTGTTGTTGTTGTTGTTGTTTTTTTAAATTATTATTTGGTGGACTTGTTTCAGGAACCTGCTATACACTCCACGATAACGGTGTTTCATACAGAGGCAATGCCGCTGTAACTAAGTCCGGTCACAGTTGCGTCCCTTGGAACCGTCATCTTCATACGTTTACGTCAGATCGTTTCCGGTATGATGGCCTGGACTCGAACTACTGTAGGAATCCTCTAGGGAAACGTGACTCCCCCTGGTGCTACAAATCACCAACAGGAAGTGAAGAAGACAGTTGGGAATATTGTGAGGTAGAAATGTGTGGTAGGTAAATTTTACATTAAATTTTGTCTTCAAGTTATAATTATAGAAATGTATAATATGAAATTGGGCACCTATGAACGGGGAAGTCGTTAAAAATTAGTTTCATTCTTTCCGTTTTAAAGGTGTCATTCGGTATTACATGCACCGCTTCCGTTTTCACTCTGAACACTCGACGATTATTATTTATCCGAAAAGTTGAGACTTGTTCCGTTATCGGAATACCCCGCCTATTATCATTGTGTTACATTGTAAATGGCGGCGCCCGACTAGAACTGACACTGAAAATTTCATTGATAGGTATAGAATTCTATATATATTTTGAATTGTTTTTATTTGATTTTCTTTTAAATATACACGTGTAGTCTATAGCCGGACAAGCCAAAGCTAGTTATCCAGCTAGACATAATCATTCTAATTGCATTTTGCTGTAAATACACACGATATAGATGTTAATACAACATTACGACAATGTGATAACGGGGAAAATGAGCCGTGTCCCGAGAAAACCAACATGATGGGTTTGCGACCAGCATGGATCCAGACCAGCCTGCGCATCCGCGCAGTCTGATCAGGATCCATGCTGTTCGCTTACAGACCCTATATGAACTAAAGAAACTGATAGCGAACAGCAGGGATTCTGATCAGACTGCCCGGATGCGCAGGCTGGTCTGGATCCATGCTGGTCGCAAACCCATTATGTTGGTTTGTCGTGACGAGGCTCAAATGTCTTTGAACAGACGTGGTGAACATTTGCCAAATGACGTATAGTAAATTGCCTAATATTTTAAACCATATTCTGCAGCACAAAGAATCTTTATGGCGCAGTTTTATGTCGCATCGCCACTAAATATCGCAACATTGCCGTTAAATAACGCACATTTGCCGCTAAATGTCGCAACCACCGCTAAATATTCGCTAAAGCTTCTGCCATTAAATGCCGCAATGGTGACCGTTATATGTGGCAACACACCGTTTGCATTTGCCCAAGATTTATATTCATGAGTATATATGAGCCGTTCACGACAAAACCAACATAGTGGGTTTGCGCGACCAGCATGGATCCAGACCAGCCTGCGCTATCGCGCAGTCTGATCAGGATCCATGCTGTTCGCTATCAGTTTCTCTACTTCTTTTACCGTTTGTACGCGGATGCGCAGGCTGGTCTGGATCCATGCTGGTCGCAAACCCACTATGTTGGTTTTGTCATGACGCAGCTCATATTTAGTAATTTTCGGACAGAAAGGAATCCGTCTGCCGACTCAAGAGAAAAATGCTTTTTAAAGTGGATTGCTCTGCAATGGGCACACTTTCTAGACAAATTTTAAATACATGTATTTTAAAATTCTTACAAATATTTCTTGAACAAAAATGTTTACCTAGTTCAACATGATTTTCAAATCGATTATATCCTGTCCGTGCTCTGCTTTGCGCCATGTCCTATTTTTGTTTGGGGTCCTGCAGGGCTCATTGCCGCTGGTTCTTGTTGCAAGGTCGTTTGGGGGTTGCATACATTGAACGCCGCCTTTCCTTGTTGATCTTGTTTAACATGCTTGATAAAACATTTACGAATTACTAATATTTTGTTCTATAATATTGTATTATAAACATTCACATATAATTCTTTCATGGTTTATCACACATATTTTAAACATAGATAATTATGGTATTGCATACTTTCCAGCATATACCAATTCACATTGAATGGCCTTTTTTGCAATCAAAATGTAAAAATAAACATCAATTTAAGTATAGTAGGCAACTACGATACATATATTAGGTTAAAACATGTCTATAATTATCTTTTAAGTGTACTGCTTTGCATACTTTTTCAAATTTTAAATTTGATTTGTGATTGTCGTGGGTTTTTTCTCGTGAGAGTACGCTACATTCGGAACTGCCTCGGCTATTATCTATAATAACTGACGGACGGAAAGGGCCGAGTAGTTGCGATTGAGGACGCTATCCAGCTACGTTACGAAACGACTGTCTTTCTTCTTGTGTCGTGACCTTACTGTGTTGGTGTGACATTTACATGTCTAGAACTTATTAGGACTTTGCATGTCGTAATTAAAAGTTTTAAAAACTTATTAGGATAAATAAAATTCTTATTTATTGTTTGTATAAAAACCTTATTAGAAGTGACAAAGTACAAATAACAATTAGAATTTTATCTTGTAATTTGGCCTTTGAAGCCCCTTATTTATATTTCTTAACTGTCTTCTAATTATATTTTTATTTCTCCTAATTGGGTTTTTAGAACTCCTTGTTAAGAGTTACAAAATTGTTATTAAGTTTATTTCTCCTAATTATGAGAAAAAGATCCCAATTACTAAAAATGGGACTTTAAAACTCATAAACAGAAGTAAGCATTCCCTCATTAGGAGTTTAATACTATTTATTACGAGTTAAACAGTTTTTTAGTGTTCTTTTTTACAAAAAAAAAAGAAAAAAAGAAAAAAAAAGAAGATTTTTCACCAGACGATTCCGCGTCAAATCACTGCCAATAGTGTCATTTTATTCGAGAGTTTCGACCATGCCACCACATACATGCATCGAGGACATGTTGTAAGGAAGTGATCGTGCGACCACATACACGCATCACAGGTTTCCCCTTCTCGTATGTGAAAAGGACAAAGTACTGTCCACCCTTTTGATAAAGGGTAAACATAAAAAATATGCCACGTCCTTATTGTAATTGATAAGGAGGCTGTTTTGCACAGATATGTCTTGAATTGGTAGTACTTAATGCAAACCAAGCGGGTATCAGTTTCCATCATTTTATGTTTGCAATGAAATCTTCAATAGATCATATGTAATTTCTTGGAAAAAAATTGAGTTTACAGTTCTTTCTATTTTTCGTTCTGTGTAATAATGGAATTATTTTATTTTTGCAAAACATAAACGTTTCAAAAACGTTTTATATGCATTGAATATATATTTCACAATCTGTTTGGAAAATAGCTTAAGGGCATTTTAATGGTGACATTCAGCGGCAATAACGCCACGACAATTAGCGGCAAGACTTTTATCGTCGTTGCGACATAAAACTGTGTTTTTACACTCAAACTTTAGAAAAAAAGTTTAGAAGTGTTCTTAAAATGTTTTTATTTCATTCGATTTAACAGAGGAAAATGATTCAAGATTAAAACGCGCTCTTAGATAAGTGGAGAGCGGTTCAAAAATTAATTTATGGTTATGCCAAACAGATGTTTTTATTTGCAGATAAATGTTTATTTCGAGGAGTTCAGCTTAAAACTGGAGACAGATTCCATGATGGTTGTTCTATGTGCATATGTCAAGCTACTGGAATAAAATGCTTAGAGTAGGTGCATGTTTACCAGTATACTAATGTTTTTCTTTCAAAAATAGTAATTTTCATACATTGTACTCTTATTACATCTGAAACTTAGACATTTTTATGCATGTATTTTTGGGTACCTGGTTATGTGAGAAGACTGTGTCCGAAATAAATTTTGATTGATCCAGTTGGAAACAGAAAATTAAAAACCACTGCAATCAAATTTCTGCTGTTGTTTCTTTACCTGTGGGTCTGCTTAATTCTATCCATACGGTCATTGCGCCATTCTGTTGAGGCAGTATAAGAGTATAAAAAAATCCTCACAAAAAGTAAAACACACATAACTTTGGTAAATGGTATTTAGTGCAGTACTGGTAATTATCTAGAATCGTAATATAAACAAACAAATAGTGCAAAACGTCAATCGATTCCTGACGGGCATTGCATGATTATCCTTAACTGTCTAAAGTTTGCATATGAAAATTCAAACTTATTTATTTATACTTCTATGCCATAGAAATGTTGATTGTGAAACCTATACTTCTATGCCATAGAAATGTTGATTGTGGAACCAAGACTTCATAGTTCCTGTATATTCATATGCAAGTAATGACTACTATTAGGTTTTGCATAAGAATAACGTGTTTACTCCGATATGAATTTTCTCTAAAGCAAGATAACTTAATAGATAATTTGAGCCGCGTTACGACAAAACCAACATTGTGCGTTTGCGACCAGCCTGCGCATCCGTGCAGTCTGATCAGGATCCATGATGTTTGCTTACAAGTAGAGAAACTGATAGCGAATAGCTGCAACAGATGAAAAAGTGGTTCCAGTACGGAGCCAATGAGTAACTGACTTTGGGTAGTATATAAGTACATCAAAATTAAAAAGCTTTTAAGAAATAAAAATAAAAGAAATTTTTAGGCATAATGGGCCTTTAAACATAATATTTCTGAGAAAAACATTGTCTGTCATGCAAGTATCGGGATCTTTGGACTGAAATCTGAACTCATCAAAACTTTACTTTCAGGTTTGTGACGATTATTTTGTATAAAGGTATGAACTGTCTTATGTTATTGTACCTGATCTTATCTGATGTATTTCAGGTGTGACGCAGGTCCTCAATTTACCAACGAGATGGGATGCTACGTAAAATACAATCATGACGAGCATTTCCCTCGATGTTGCCCCCAAATTGTTTGTCATGGAAAGGATTCAGATTTTGACTTGACAGAGTATTTTAACTATCTGAAACTGGTGTTACGAACTCATGTCGCCTCATTTGTGTCAAATACCAACCAAACACACAGAGCAGAAAGCCGGACTTTAAATAACATTCATGTCTTGCCTTAAAATTTTGTAAAGATACTGATAAAGTGCTAAGTCTTTTAAAAAAAACCATACCGAATAAAAAAAAATGCAATAACATAGTCAATGTTTAAGAATAAATGAATGAATGTGCTTCTTTTTCCTGAATCGTGTCCTTTTCACTATATATTGAATAGAGTAAGAAATATATCCATGGAAATGTTATATACATTATTTATTGTATACTTGTAATGTCTGAAAAAATGTCAAAGTCTTAAGTATATGAAAAGACTGTTGAAATGAATAACCATTTTTCAGACAAATATCATGAATTTTTACAATACTGCACATAGTATAACTGGCGTTTTTAAATATGATCCGAATACACAGATGCTTTCAATCTATAAATACTTTTACATTTTAACTTCGAATAAATGATTTTTTGCTGTACTGAGTAGATCTATTATATACATTCGTTATAAAAGATTTTGAACGGTTTTATGGTCGTATAATTTATATGGTCGCGTATTTAAACGGCTGACATAAAAGAAGTTCACTCTTTAACACACCACGCCTATGATTAATTAACACAACCACGTGAAGAAACATTTAAAGGATCAGCTGAAACATAGGTCAGTAAAAGAAATTGAACGAGAGGTGAATTCAAATACCGACGACGATTTCGAGAAGCAGCGCAATGAGTTTCAACTGAGAACAATTAAACATGAATTAAACACACAAAAAAACAAAAAAACAAGCTGACATCGACGAATATTGCGGATCAAATTTTAGAGTCGAAGAACTTGCTAAAAACTAAAGAGTTTGTCAGAAGCGTGAAGCATGATGACGGCCTCATGTATCCGTTAGTGACTCTATACTCAGACCAGCAAATAACATACATCAAACAATTATGCTGTCGAGAAAATGGAGTTGTATTGGGAATGGATAAGACGTATAATCTTGGCGAATTCCATGTAACGCCGACTGTTTTTAAGAACACACCGTTTCTGTGACGAAAAAATAATGAACATCCAATATGCTTTGGCCCTACGTTCATTCAACAAAAAACTCTACTATACGAGCATATTCATCGTTCTTATTAGATATTACCCATGGTTTCACTGAAAAGGAACTCGGCAATCTAGTTATAGGCAGGAATGAGGAGCTTGTCTTTAAAGGTGCAATCAGGAGGTGTACCCGACATCTGAAGGAAAACACAAATCGACACATGGAAAACATTGTAGGATATCCGTTGAAAGAAAGAGAGGAAATTTTAGCTGCAATTTACGGTTCCAACGGGCTTCTGCAACCTACAGACATAGCTACATACACAATGAGAGTCAATAAATTGAAAGAGCTTATAGAAAAGTTTGACGGAAATGTTGGTGAAAAAAGTTCATGGTATTTTTCGAAAAGAAACTGTTACCAATGTTACAGGAGCATGTAATCACTCCAACTGAAAAAGGGAAAATACCAAGCCACTGGACTAGTAATAACTCATCTAGAGCGCCAATCACATAATGAAATTTGCAGTCCTGTGGAAAATGCAAGATGTACTCATGTTCATCAACACTCTGCATGGTATAATTAAAGGAGAACAAACTGAAAGATGCAGAGCAATAAGAGACATGGGCAACTTTAAGCTAACTGAGAAATTTCAACATCACGCCGTCGATATTGATTACTGGACAAACTATGTCTGAAGAAAGTAGGCAACCGATGGTACTAAAACTGTGAAAAAAAAAAACATTTGAAGGACGGAAACCCAACCAAAGAAAGAGAAAAAGGGCCGAAAAATCAAGGACGCTAAAGGCTTTAGTCGGGAAGGAAGTTCCATAGGATCTCACCGGGTGTTCTACACACCGACTTTAGCCACTTACCCCTAGCAAACTAATACAACTTAGAAAAGAAAATTCTGAATACTTGTTATTTGGTGTAAAAAGGCTGATACAACAGTTATATATATCTTCTTCATGAAATGAATAAGAGCGAGTACTAAACTAAATTGATTGAACTACGTTATCTGTTAGTTTGAGGTCAGGGCCAGTACAAGCTTAGGGTCCAGCTAAACATCTGGCCGTGAGTATAGTATTGTCCCCGGCACCCTGGTGTCCCCCTGGATGTCGAGGAGGGGGATTTAGGTATGCTAGGTTGCCAGGGAGGTGCTCTGATTGAGTTCAGGATCTTACATACGGAAAACTACGTTCTTGCTATGAGGTTGGTTCTTGCCTAAAGTGTTACATTTAGTACTTCTAAAAAATTATAATTTTAAAAGTCATCATTTATTCAACATGTTATGTACACATTTTGTATATATATGCCACATTATTTCAATATCATATTACATCATGTACAGTACTTTTTTGTCTTTAACTTTTTTGTGTGTGTGCGTGTGCATGCATATCGATGGCTGAACGCAACACTGGTCTAACTTGATTTTTACAAAATTCCAAGGAGGCTATAAAAACTTCATTAATTCTATAAATTGGACATTTATGTTATTATTTTTAGATTTTTATATCCATATAAGTAAAAATTTTAGTTTAAAGGAGTTTCATAAATTAATATTGTTAAATAAAAAAGATATTTGAAAAGATATGAGTTAGATCAGTTTTCCATTTATAAATCACCAAATTTCAATTATAAATTTTCAGCAAAACTGGTCTAACTTGACTTAGCCCTATGTTGCATTTACAAAGTGGGTTCAATAAGGCCAAAAGAATAATCAATAAGTGCTTTGTTTGAAAAAAATAAGATGATATAATGAAAAAGCTTTTACTTTAACCATATTTTAGTATGTTTTTCAAAGAAAACTTTTTTATGGAAACCGACGTGTTGATTTATACAAAATTGACAATTATTAGCATAACATAATCAGAAATCAGACATTATAAAAAAGTCAGTTGTTTTATCACATAAAAATATTTAAAAAAATCTAATTATAAAGTTTAAGGTTAGAATACATGCTTCAATGTTGATAAGATTTTTTTATATATAGCATTATTCAATGTAACATTAAAAATTGAAGCACATACTCATAACTGAAAAATTGAAGCATGTATTCTAAAAACACAAACAATTTTATTCAAATGAACCTTATATTTGCCTATTGGATTTTCATTTATATTTTCAAGTTTATATATATAGTCAGAATTTCAAGTAAAATGTTAATTTTAGGAACATTTGCATAAACTAAGGTTATCTCTCCAAGTTGCCAAAGAAAAAACTTTTGCCTCTTTTTGTAATTTAACTTGGAATGGCACCCATATCTATAGCTTTGTCCACCTTCATTTGTCATTATCCGATATACTCAATTTTTGTCAGATTTTTAAACATAATTTTTTCCCATATTCCTATTACAGTTATTCATTACATTTCTCTTTTATCTTTTGTCATTCTTACTTTTTAATCTAATATTTTCCCCCATTTAATATTTTTTTAAAATTGTTACATAAATTATCATTTTAACCATTCTTGCCAGCACTCATCACCAGTATAATGATTTCAAAAAACCCTAATTTCACTTTCAAAATGATCAACAGCATTTTAATTAACATCATTATCCTTGGCTTTTATATAAACAGCATTGTCTCCACTAGCCCTTATTACACCAACATTACTATGAGTAACTCATCCCACCACCACTTTCTTCCTCTCCACCTATATAAGCAGCATTGCCACCTCATTACATCAGTATTGTCATCAATCACACTTTTATCAACAGCATTGTCATCGTCAGCACTTGCATAACCAGCATAACCCCCACAAACTATAATTTCACCAATATTGCCCCCACTTCCCTTATAATACCAACATTGTCCCTGGCAACCCTTATAATACCAGCATTGTCCCCACTAACTATAATATCACTAACATTGTCTCCACCAACACTCATATTACTAGCATTGTCTCCACTAACTATGATATCATCAGCATTGTCCCAACTAGTTATAATATTACTAGAATTGTCCCCACTAACTATATCATCAGCATTGTCCCATTACTAACCCTCACATTACCAGCATTGTCCCCATTTACTATGATATCACCAGCATTGTCCTATCTATGATTTTGAAAGCATTGTCTCCACTATTACCCTCTTATCAGCATTGGCCCCACTAAATATAATATATCACCAGCATTGTCCCTACTTTTTTCTCAAAAATTTCTTTTCTTTTCTTGTTGGGTTTTATGTCGCACTTTTACAGTAGAGGTCAACTGTATACATGGTAATACTCCAGCTTTACCAGTGGAGGAATACCTCAAGTACCTAAGTTCTGTTGCTTCAAGTTTGTAACACCCGAGGTTAGCTTATAAGGAATTTACTTAGCCTTTAAGAAGTTACACCTGCTGCCTGTAAATTAAATGCCGGTGGGAATATACAACTTGATGGTAACCTTTTATTGTGGTAAAGAGACTGTGCCAAGTTTCCGCTACACAACTACCCTAGAGCTAGATATTACTGTTTGTGACAACAGCTTGTGTTTGATTTTGTTTCTATCAATGATATTTCGTAAAGAAATAACGATAAGTAATACTTTCATTTAGCACTTTTCTCATATAGTATGACTTTACAACTTCATTTGTTATGGCAAAATGATGTCGTCTTTTAAGAACGTAATTGATTCATAAAAGGAGCTTGGGAATGACATCATTTAAAAACATTGACTTTTCTTACATGGGGGATGTAAGACATGTTTTTCTAGCACCGGTGTAAACAGTAAATAATTCTATCTGATATGCAAGAAAAAAATCTTTCCTGTTTCAGCTACATAAAAATGACCTCAATTGTGTTGGTGCACTGTAAAACCAAACCAAACAAACCAAAAAAATTATTTAAATGATTACAAGCCTCGTTTCTCCTCGTGGTGTGGCCTGGATGCAGATTATTTTAACCATCTGTAACTGAACGCTCTTCAAAGAAGACATTATTATTATAATAAATATATTAATTACTTGATAAATATTTTTTTTTAAATATTGCACAACAAAGGGAAAAATATATTCCTTTTTGTACAATCATTCAAAACACTTTTAAAATTTTCCTATCAACATAACATGTTATTTTCGTAAAA